GAAAGACAAAATATTAAATACATTTTAAGAATACATGCATCCCTTTCAAGAAGAAAGACCATGGGGATGAGGTTGAGCTTAACCAACAGTTTAACTAGCACAAAGCCAGTCTGTATATAAAACAACAAATTCTTATTTGCATACAATGTTTATAGTCGTGCTAACAGCTAAAGTTAATAAACATTAAAACAAATCAATGTTACCTTATTGCAGCAGCATTCAGGTTCTCCTCTGGCTCCCAAGTGTTTTCCAGGCTGGAATAATTTTTCCATTTTACATAATAATCTGCCTGTAATACAATATCAATATATTCGAGCGTTTATATATTTGATAAAACACATTTGTCACCAGAGATTGCCGACGAAATATGGGAGTATAGTTAGTGAACAGAAGCATATAAATTTACAAACGTATAAATTTACCTTTCCTCGTCGATTTCTTCGCGAAATTACCCGCTCGACCTCGAACAACTCACGCGATGACTTTACGGCCTTTCTTTTAATATTGGTCCTCGTTGAATATTCATAAAAATCAGCTGTGCTCAAGTTATTCAACTCTTTGTAAAAAGACATTGTTGATTTTTATGTTTACTACAAGTCACGCAAACGTGTCACGCACATGCGTGGAACATTTTTTGCGCCCGCGAACGGAAACGCTGACTGTCCGAGATTTCTAGCCATGGGAACAATCGGCAGACGATGACAGACCCCATTTGACCAGGTTTTTCCGAGTAGGGAGGGAGTTGTTGATATAACGGACAGTGAAATTAAATATATTCTTAGGAAGTCTGGATTGAACGGATGACCATAAGGAATTGAATGATGACGTGGAGTTTTTGATGATACTCGAGAAGAAAGAACCTTGTGAGTTAAGGTGGTTTTGTAGTCTCTGTTCATTTTCATTTCTAAAGGCTTTCAAGACATCTTTCGTATTTTTATATATATCATACTGAATATTCTTGTTCGTGCTTGTTATTGACCATAATTTGTTGATGTCTGCGTTTATAGACGCTTTTAAAGTTGAACGAGAAACAGTTTGGCATTGGATAAATTTCGTCGAAGGCAAAATGATATTCAAACCAAATTTGTTTTGGGGAAGATACACATTGCTAAGGGTTGCAGATATTGGAAGTTCCAGCCATTTTCGAATATATTTAGTAGCAACGTTATCTAAAGTTTCGCAAATCCAAGTTTTAGATATATCGGTTATTGTTAAGTTCCATGAGATTTTTGAGAGTAAGTAGCGACTATATAGAAGAATTTTGTTTCGGGGGTGGAAAGGTCATTTATCAATTTTCGATATATTATCATTAAACAGATCACACAATTCGGATTTGTGTCTTTCATCGGACATGTTGAAATCGAAACAACGACTAAGATAGCGGAAAGATTCTCCGTGTTCGATACGGGGTATAAGTTGGTTATTAACGAACAGCTTAGGTTGGTACTGGATAGACTTAGATGAGCGTTTTTTAATTCCAAATGAAGAGCACTTGTCAACACGTATTATCATATTAGCCCATTGACACCATACTGTGAAACGATTGAGCAGAATTTGATTTTCATTTTCTTGTCTGCTGATGACAGCCTCGTCGTCTGCGAATTGAAACCCATGGATAGGGTTGCACGGAATACCAGTTTTATTCAATTTCCAAAAGCCAAGCTGGGCGTATTTCTCAGATTTTATGTGCTGAACGAATGTGTTAAAGGACATATTGAATAAGAGAGGACTGAGACAGTCACCTTGTAAAACGCCACGTCCGATTGTGATAAAAGGAGTACTGAACTGTTCTGTTATAATGGATGTTTGGAAGTTTGTATAAAGACTTCTTATTAGGTTGTTTATTTGACCTGGGACGTGATGATACTGAAGGACTTCGTGAATGAGATTATGATGGAGTTCACCGAAAGCATTCCTAAGATCAAGCAAAGTAATTACAACAGATCTTTGTTTTATACGGGCTGTGTTGATTATATGTGCCATATGAGCTGTGTGTTCAAGAGTTCCTGCAACGTTAGGAGTAAAACCTTTCTGGATGTTATGTTCTATGTAATTGTTTTCAGCTAGGACAGTGAATATTTTATTACGAAGACATGATGTAAATACTTTGAGTGGGACAGATTCTAGAGTTATTGGTCGGAAATTAGCGGGATTGTCAGTTTCTTCTTTTATGTGGATCAATATCGTACACGCTTTTTTCCATTCTGATGGAACAGAACCAGAGGACCAGGCAGCTTGGATAATTTCGGTTAAATAAGTTCTCAGATATGGGCAGCGTTTCAAACATATCACAGATATTTGGTCAAGAGGACACGGAGAACCAGACGGTTTCATCTTAGGAATGATATTTGTAATCTCATCATAGGTCGGGGGGTCAAGATTAAATGGTGTTGTCGGGGAACTAAATTTGGGAATCCAATTGGGAATGTTGAAAATTTTATTTGGAATAACTGGGGAAAATGTTCTTGTAAAATATGCTGTGCATTGTGCGAGATCAAATGTTGGTAGTGAATCTGACTTTTTCGTGAAAATATTTTTAACATAACCCCAACAGTTTTTATTGATTAACTCATTGTGATCAATTTCATCTGACGCGTTGATATCAGCATGTTGTTGATCAGTGTCAGCTCTACGTAGACGATTACGCAATTTTTTAGCAACAAATTTGATTTCCATTAGATTGCCATTGTCCGACTTTAATTTCTTTAAGACTTTTTTTAGATCTTTAGCTGAAGCTGATTTATATTTCGACTCAAATACTTTATTATTGTTGATATCAACAAACCCATAATTTTCACTGAAGTAATTATATGTTACTGTTGTCATGGTATTAATGCATTTACTGATTTCTTGCGTTGTAATTGGCTGGTTTGAAAGAGTGAATTGAAAAAAGTCGTTAGCATTTGACCACTGTATAGGAGATTTAGGCAGTTTTATTCCTTTCTTTAAATCAGGGTAGCTTTCTTGAGAATTTAAACACGAAATTACGTCCTCTACTGATTGAACGCTGTCCTCGCATACTTGGTCATTTAAAGCGTCTGTCATTTGTTGTTGTAATTCCTCCTCCAAGCCATCAATTACTCTGCAACTACGCTGATGCATTTTTAAACCCCGAGCGCCTTTACACACTTTACCACAACAGCATTTGAGAGCGAATTTCAACAGCAGGGACTACATTTTCTTTGGACTGTTGGTTTATCTTTACAACGCCACGTATGACGACCCATTGAAACAAATTCCTTTTCACAAAATCCACATAACATTAGGGTTGAAAATAGTGCAATCAAGCTTACGCGAATCATATTTGATTAAATAAATGAACAAATTGTATAAAAATGTTTTCAATTCAAGTAGAATCAGTTCACTAAAACAGATGACATGTACAGACAACGTCTTGACGCGTCTGCTCGATGTCGATAAAATAATAATAATAATAATAATAATAATAATAATAATAATAATAATAATAATAATAAAAATAATAATAATAATAATAATAATAATAATAATAATAATAATAATAATAATAATAATAATGGAAACTTTATTTTGACATTTTATGCATATACAATTATAAATCTCACTAATTTAGGTAATTTATAATTGACTACTTGAACTATTAATTATTGATAAAACTATATTACAGGTATAAAACTAGGAGAAAGCTCATTCTTAAATGTTCATCAAGTCCGGATCGGTCCAATCCTTGTTTCTACAACAAAATATATAGTACGTTGTTCTGATGGCGATGGACATTATTTTCTTAACACAAAAGTTCTAATGTTTTTTATCAAGACCAACTTCATAATAATAATAATAATAATAATAATAATAATAATAATAATAATAATAATAATAATTTTTTTTTTATTAAATTTGCCACTGAAAAAGACGTACTTTACATATACAAAAAACTACTAAATTACCCTAGTAAGTAAAATGGCAGGGTCACCACAACAGCAGTTGCCAATTACCGTGGGCCCTATGTTTAAATGTTTATAAAAAAACAATAATGAATGTTCTTACAGTTAAATGCAACAAGAAATTGGTTTGTTCAGCGGACGTCCTCGATTACTCTTGATGCAAACTGTTTTGAAAGAGCGCGGAACGTCCCATTGATAATATGACAATGATGCTTTGTAATAATTGAGCATGATTGTTTTAAAAGATATCAGGTTGTTAGTACTCAAACAAAGTTCATCTGCCAAAACGTTCCATACTCTACATGTTCGTACAAAGTAAGAACGCTGATATGTGGTTGTCTTATATTTTGGCACTACAAACTTTATCACGTTGCTCGCTGATGATCTGGTCGACCTGGTGTTTCTGGCCGTAGGTATAACGGTATGATCTATAATGACTAGTCCGTGAATGATCTTGAAGAAAAATATCATATCCTGCAGTTCATGCCAGGAGGTAATAGGGATAAGATTCAATTTTTTCAATCGAAGAGTGTAATCTACATTAGAACTGTATGGTATGCAAAGAATATATCTCGTTGCACGCCTTTGTATGCGCTCTAATTTACCAATTAATTGGACGAACTGCGGAGCCTACACCTGGGTGGCATAACCTAAATGAAGTCGAATCAGTCCTAGATAGAGCGTACGCCTGATTGATACACCTTTGATATAAATGGTGTTTCGCTTAATATATCCTAAAAGTTTATTGGCCTTGCCAGCTTGTTCTGAGACTTGTTTATGAGGTAACTTACGGTTGGCTATTTGAGTCACAATTATACTAAACTAAAATAACAGAACAAAGTGCATGCAATATATATATATATATATATATATATATATATATATATATATATATATATATATATATATATATATATATATATATATATATATATATATATACAATGAGATAAGTCAAATTGTTAGTAAATCCGGATTTTCCCATTCCTTATTTCGGCAGCAAAAAATGTAATATGTAGTTCTAATAGCAATAGTCATCATTTTCCTAACGCAGTACATTTGGTGGTTTTTGTCAAGACCAATACTTTCTAACATGTCTAAAAATGTATAACATTCTTCTGCAAAAATTCCTAAAGAGTTGATGGAGAGTTTTATAAATTTAACTTGGTTAAAATTTTTACCTAGCTGTCTCAATAATTCTCTATATTTATCCTTCTTCCGTTTTACGTTGTTTTTGAGGTTTGTCTCATAACCAGTGGTGAGTTCAACCACATATAAGGAACCATTTGAGCACGATAATAACTCTCACTAATTTAGGTAATTTATAATTGGCTACTTGAACCTACTTAATATTTATATATTAATAATGAGTATCCTTAAATGTTCAGTAATTCCGGATTTGACCAGTCCTTATCTCTGCAACAAAATATATAATATGTTGTCCTAATCGCGATAGACATAATTTTCCTGATAGCAAAATGTTGGTGTCTTTTATCGAGACCTAGATCATTTAACATATCTAAAAAGGAATGACATTCTTTTGAGAAGACGCCTAAAGAACTAATTGACAAATTGACAAATTTTACGGACTTAAATTGTTTCTTTTGCTGTGTAATGAGATCTTCGTATCTTCTTCTTTTCCGATCAACATTTGTTTGTAGATTAGACTCATAACCAACAGAAAGTTCAAGGATATAGAGACAATACAAGTTGATAGATAGAAGTAGGTCTGGGCGGAATGTGTCACCAGTTACAATTGATGGGCTTTTATAACCAGGAAGATCGACGAAAAGATTGGAGTTGTTTACAGGTTGTAGCGTTTGTGCTATGAAGTTCAGAACAGAATCATGTCTCCATGTAAATCGTGGGAGATACGTTTGACATCCAGCAACTACGTGTAAAAGGGTTTCAGGGTTTAAGCAGAAGGAGCAATCAGAGTTGGACAATATTCCTCATTTAGTAAGGTTTTTACGAGTTGGAAGTGAGTTATTGATGTAACGAATGGTGAAGTTATAGATGTTCTTTGGGAGGTTTGATTGTGATTTAGACCATATGCTGTTTAATTTCGACAGTGAAAACTTAATGAAATTTGAGAAGAAGGAGCCTTGCAAAATCAGATGATTCTGCAGTTTGTCTTCTTGTCCGGAGGTAAAAGTTTTAAGGACTTCCTTTGTCGAGGTGTAAACGTCGTACTGAATGTTTTTGCTTTCAGATGTTGTTTTTCAGAAGTCTTTTATGGAATGATTTGGAGAGGTCTTTAAGGCGTTACGAGCAACTGTTTGGCACTGAGCAAACTTAATTGACGGCGGGTAGATATTTAGACCAAACTTGTTACTGGTAAGGTAGACGTTAGATAGAGTTCCTGATATAGGTATTTCAAGCCATTTACGTACGTACTTGTTCACCACAGAATCCATATTTTCAGTGACCCAGGTTCTTGATAAGGTGGTTACAGTGAAATGTCAGGAAAGTTTGGATAGGAGGTAACGACTATAAAGCAAAAGTTTATTTTTCGGGTGCAAAGGTTTGAGATCAATTTCAGACATAATGTCGTCCATGAGAGTGATTAGCTCTTGTTTGTGTTCTTTTTCGGACATACTGAAGTCAAAATATTTCCCCAAGTTTCGAAACGACTCTCCGGGTTTAGTAGCAGGTATCAATTCATTGTTAATCAGAAGTTTAGGTAAAATATTGGATAGATTTTGTCAGACTTTTCCTGATCCCAAATGTTGAACACTTATCAACCCTGATAATCATGTTAGAACACTGGCACCAGATCGAGAATCGATTTAAAAGATGTTGATTTTCTGAATCTTGACCGCTTATTACCGCAGCATCATCAGCGAACTGGAACCAATGGACTGGGTTTAAAAGATTTGTAATGAAACCAAATTGCCGGTATTTGTCAGTTTTTATATGTTGAATAAAGGTATTGAGGCACATATTAAAAATTAGAAAACTAAGTCAGTCTCCTTGAAGAACTCCACGACCGACAGTTATAAATGGGGTAGAGAATTCTGATGTTATAAATGCAGTATTGAAGTCCGTATACAAGCTCCTTATTATTTCACTAACAACTTTGGGAATGTGATGATAGTCGAGGACAGATTGAATTAGATTATGATGCACTTCACCAAAAGCATTCTTGAGATCGAGAAGGATGATGACAACAGAGCGCTGCTTTATTCTCGCTTGGTTGATAATATTTGTCATTTGAGCAGTGTGTTCCAGAGTGCCAGACAGATTGGGAATGAAACCTTTTTGAATCTGATGTTCAATAAAGTTATTAGCAGTTAGGAACGAGAACATAGCATTGCGGAGACAAGAGGTAAACACTTTTAGTGGTATAGTTTCTAGAGTAATTGGGCGGAAATTGGAGGGGTCACTTGTATTGCCTTTTTTGTGGATAAGAATAGAACACGCTTTTTTCCATTCAGCTGGTACAGATAATAATAATAATAATAATAATAATAATAATAATAATAATAATAATAATAATAATAATAACAATAACAATAATAATAATGATTTATTAACAGATCCAACAAAGTGGCTCTTCCCTTTTAAGTACTACATTAATATTAATATTCTACTAACATTAATATTACACAGAAAAAAATCGTTTTCTTATTTCAAGAAAAAAAAAAACTTGTTTCAAGAAATATTTTCTTAAAACAAGAATTTTTTTACTAGGGAGAATAGCGAGAAATATTTTCTAACTGAGAAAATATTTCTTAAAATATTTCTTAAAATAAGAAAACATATTTTCTTGTTTTAAGAAAAATATATCTCATTTCAAGAAAATAATGAAACATTTTTCTAATGCCCTTTTTCTTTAGAACTAGAAAATTTTTCTTAAATTAAGAAAACTTTTCTTAAATAATAAGAAATTAAATCTTAAATTAAGAAAATATAACTTGTTTTAAGAAAATATTTCTCAAAACAAGAAAATTTTTACTAGGGAGAATAGCGAGAAAAAAATTCTAATTAAGAAAATATTTCTAGATGAATCATTTTCTTGTTTTAAGAAAATATATCTTATTTTAAGATTAACTTTCTTAAAACTAGATACTTTTGACTAGATAAAAAAATAAGATAAATTTACACCTAACATTCTCAGTTTAAGAAAAAAACTCTCACACAGCAAAAAATCATTTTCTTATTAAGAAAAAAATTTCTTAATTTAAGAAGAAAAATCTTAAAATAAGAAAATAATTTTCTTAGTAAGAAAAAATTTTCTTGAAATAAGAAATTTTTGAATCCCAAGATATCTTTTTCTTAAAATAAGAACAAATTTTCTTAATAAGAAAACATTTTCTTAAAATAAGAAAATACGATTTTCTTACTTTCTTAATAAGAAAACATTTTCTTAAAATAAGAAAATACGATTTTCTTACTTTAAGAATATGTTCGTAAGACAAGAAATGAAATTCTTAAAATACAAAATTATAAAATAGTATAGACATTATTACTTAAATTTTCGAAGCAAGAAAATGTAAAATGCTAGTGTTATAGGACAACTTATATCTTAACAAGACTTAGAACAACGTATATCTTATTGCGTCAGGTAAATTTGTAGTTTTTATTTCGAATTGAAGAGACTATATGACCGGCAGCTCACGGTTGATCAAACACTAAATGGCAGGCAGTACATTGACTATATAGTTAAAGTTGAATCTTCAGTAGTCAGTATAAGATAGATAAACCGATCCCCAATCCCAAACCCTTCTCTAACCCTAACCCCTAACCCTAACCTTTTGAGAGTTAGACCGGCTGCCGGTAATATAGTCACTTTGTTTTTATTTTGTTTCCAAAATTTGAGCTCGTTTCAGTTTTATTGAATCGTTGAAGAGAATTTTTGCCCCCCGGAATTTTTATCCAAGCAGGAATTAATAGTTCGCCATAGTTCGCGTATTCACTAAACGCCTGGGGCCGGTTGTATAAAAACGTAGTTAGCGCTAACTGCAGTTAAAAAGTAGTTAAAAAGCCTTAAAAAATAGTTAACTTTAATCACGTAGTTAAGCCGGTTGTATAAAAGTGTAGTTAGCCTTAACTGCAGTTAAAAAGTAGTTAAAGTTAACTATGCTTTAGGGTATAGTTAACTGTCCAAAAGGTAGTTAAAAATGGCGTTTGTATAGGAGTGAACAACATTTTTCGGTAAAACAACAATGAAAAGCAACGGTTACCTAAGATTTTCAATCGCTATCTTCCCTGTGAATGTTTCCTGACAATATAAACTCTTCAAACGCTATCGCTTTGGTGTTTTTACGAAAACAGAACGTATTTTTGCACAGGACGATTTCCCGAAGACGAAGTATGGTCCATTACACCAAGAAACACTGATATTAATTGCCAAACAACTATACCTTGGTTTAACGTAGGCATCTCAAGGAAAAACAGCATTCTTTTATGATTTTTGTGGCGGTTTTTCCTTGTTTTCTTGTTTATTTTTCACTGTTTTCTAGTGTTTTGAATAAAATTCCCGCCTATTTGCAAAATGCGAGTCCACAATCATGTTGAAAATGTGTGTCAGCGGTCGTTACTCGATGCTTATTTTATGTAATTTTGTGTTTAAACGCCCCACGCAAGCCCCACGCACAGTTAACTACGTGATTAGTTAACTATCCGACTAACTACGTTTTGTGCAACGCAGTTAAGTCATGTAGTTAACTAATTGCAGTTAAGGATTTAACTACAGTGATTAGCGCTAACTACAGTTAGCGCTAATTACGTTTTTATACAACCGGCCCCTGGTACCTAGTTTACCTTTTAGAACGCGGAGCATCGCGGGATAGCGTCGTTTTACATTTTTGTGAAAAATTTTATATAAATATCCATGAGCGCCTTCAATGGCAATTTAAATGGCAAATAACGATGGGAAAAGCATCAGAAAGTCCTTAAAATGTTGTTCAGATACCAAAGGTAAGAATAATTGTATATTTGACTTGTTATTTAAACAGATTCATTGCGAAATAATGTAGTGATTATGACTGTTTACTTGAGCGAAGTGTGAAAATATTCCATTGAATGTTTGAATTTGCCGCGTTCGTTTTGCATATAAAACATGCAAATGTTGCTTTCAGGCAAGGGACGAAAGATTAAAATATAAATTCAAATCTATTGTTGTGAATTCCATACTAATTTACGCACTAATATTAACAATTTGACAATATTAAATTGCCTTTGACATTGGCACTTTGCTAGACCTTTCAAATGTCAAGACTCAAGGCTATATAGTGATATGAAATAAGATATTATACATACGGATGTTTTTGAAGATCTGTTAGCATTTTAATACTTGAATAAGGATTGGAATTACAGGAGAATGACAGCATTTAATCTGATATTTTCAGTGCATAGATAGCTGAATAACTGAATTGCATCCTACTTTATTGTTTACTCTGTCTAATGCCAGAGGGTTTTCCTACTTGCCTTGCCGGATAACTTGGCTACTGTAGAGAATGTTTAGTTTTCCCGACTTACTATACTTCACCCGGGAAACTCTGCAACCCTAGATAGAATGTAAATGCCTGTCATTTAAAATAATAGCCCAAAAATACATACAAATCATTAGGTATGTTTATAGCTTTCCTCTATTTCTAGCAGCTTATTCTTGCCTATTTTGTAATCATGTTTTTTAAACCTTTTGAATGATCCAAATTGTGTTTGTATTTTGTCATTGCGCAGCAAAAATGGGGTAACTTGATTTCATATAAATAGACTGCTTTTTGTCCCGCCTGAGTGAGTAACTCACCTTGCCAGGTAACTCGCCTACTGATGTACTGATATCCATATTGGTATATCAGTCATCTTTGAATTTCGTGAAATGACATGTATTATCGGTACCGGCAAAGTATTGGTCTTTTATTATCAGTTATCAGAATATCTGTGAATTTCCATATATCGGTGCATCACTAATACAGTTCAAGATTGTGTTTATATGAGAAAATGCTATCCTGCTCGCCGGGACAATTTTGTTATGTTGACATTGTTTTGACAGTTGTTAAAAATAGCTTGCAGCTCGGCATCTTTGAACATTCATCCTGGCCCAGCCTGCTTGTGAGTGTATATGTGGAGAAATTTTCATCCCATTAATAAGCAACATATTTGTGGCATAAGAGCCAGCCTGCTTGTGGATCCATATAAACACATGATAATTTTTTCTAGATAAATATACCTAATGCAGTAAGATCTTGCTTACCGGGCTGTCCCGCTAAGCGGTCCAGCCCAGCTTCCATATAAATACATTGTACAGCTGGTTTAAAGAACCATGAACAGCAACCGGAAGTAAACTATACTGTCAGTAACTGTGTGATATGGTATTGGACAAATTATTACATTTCTTAATAGTGCAGCTTTGGTGCATGAATAAGGGATAATAGTCTACTGGGCACTTGCCACAAGAAAATGATAACTGAATCCAGGACATCTGTATCTGCCTACAACCATGTCTCTGCTTAATAAAATTTATATAAAACAT